AGCCAGCAACGCACACACCGCAAGACAGAGGGAATCTTTACGATTGCAGAACTCGCACACCCTCCCGCACAACAAAGCCCACAAAAAAACATAACAAAAGGAAGTTGACACTCCGATAAGACTTAAACAAAACAAAAAAAAACATGAAAATCGATCCAGTAAGAATTTTATTTCATGCGCCAGGTAGCAAAAGAACAGCGTGTCTTCGTGTACACATATTTCCCACGCCAACTGAACTAAAAAAGGATCGTACTGTTCCACCAGCCCACACAACATCCCTCACATTACATTGCGGCATCCGGCCTGTTCCTCCAATCCTCCTTTTGTGCAGTCCGTGGGACGCACAGCAATGAGGCCGGCACCGCGTGTGGGCAACAAACAACAAAACAAGTGAGAGACACACGTCGCTCATGACAGTGTGCAGCAACTGGCCATTAAATAAAAAAGGGTGCTTATCATTCCAAGAAAAACAAAAAAACAAAAGCAAAAAAAAGTAATAAAAAAGTAGCACGCGGGGAACGCAGCACATGTTCTCCGTGAGGAGTCGCAATTCCACACTCTTCGGCTCACAAGACCGCCACAACTCCACACAATCCCAAAAGAAGCAGCAACGCCCAATACACACACACACGCACAGTGCTGTCAACAGTTAACTCTCGCAGTGTCAATTTCGCGTCGTTGAGCAGGGCAAAGCAGTCGTCGGGACACACACCGTTTCCGGAATACTGCGCGGTGAGTTTTTGTAATTGGGGTTTGTTATCGTGTCCAGAGGCATTGCGTTGACTCAATCCGCCCGCATCACCCTCAGCAACAAATCCACTGCCTGCAACGCCATTTTCTAAAGAAAGGAGTTTTGTGTCCGGTGGCGTTGCGCTCACTCACCTCGTCCGTGTTATCCGCAGCAACGTGTTCCCTGCCGCCATAAGTGACAGACATGATCTCGGATGCATTCAGCGCCACTAATATTCTCGGACCGTTGGCAAAGGAAGGCCTCTTCTTGGATGCATTCGGGACCATCACTTCGTTCGGATTGCTGGCAAACTCAGGCCTCGTCTCGGACGTGTTGGTCGCCGTGTTGGATGCGGGACTCCGATCGACGGTGTTGGGTCCGTCAGCCGCCGCAGACTGTCGCCAATCCTCGTGCTGACGTGACGGCTCAGCATTAACTTGCGGCGCAGTTGTCCCACCAGATTTTATGTCATCCTTCCCTTCACGGCGTGGCGGCAACTGAAAGATGCCCGCCTGGTCAGCAGCGCTGCTCCGTGCAGGCGGATGGATGGTTCCATCGGGGAAAATTGGCGCCACCACAATTCATAAGGGCCGGCGTATTTATGTGTCGTCACATTCATCGTGAAGGCAACGGTGGCCCCTTCCTCTTTCGTTGCACAGCTGGCAGCACAGTTGCTACATGTGTGCAGCGCATTGGCCTCATGGCACACAGCAAACAGCTCACCATTCTTGCCATGCATGCGCACACCAAAGCCACTGAAAGTATAATTCTCATGCTGAGCCTCAGCACTGGCAGCAGAAAACTTCTTCCACGCACACACACGATAGCTCAGGCTGCCGTCACACGGAGCACACGACACATCCGCCGCGCGCATCACACCCGCAGGAAAGGAGACTCGGGCTGGGCGCTCCCTCCTCCTTCCTTCTCTTCATGCCCACGGAAGAAGAGAACAGGCGCCACCCACAACCGCCAGCACACGCTACAAAAGAAGCATCCAAATCGAATGAAATGTGCATTTTGTGCGTGCATGTGGTTGTGTGTGTGCCTGCAGACACACGAGGCAAAGAAGCAAAAACAGGAGCGGAGCATGTGAGGGGACGCACAAACAAAAACGTACAGCAGAGGTGCATGGCAGAAATAAAGAGAAAAAAACTGCTCAGGCTCGCAATATTGCACTGCAGCCCAAGCAGCGGCAATTCATTAAAAAATTAAATAAAAATAAATAATAAAAAATTCATCTTCACCATTCCACACCACACACTTTGGAAAAAAAGAAAAAATGAAAATAATGAAAAAAAAAGAAAAAATGAAAAAAGTAGTCCACTACTAAGGCTACACCCAAATAATAAAAAAAAAAAAAAGAAAAAACACACACAAAAAAGCACTCAACTACCATGTTGCTCCAGAAATTGTCTGCATATTTTATCCGAAAATAAAATTAAAAAGATATTTAAATGCCTTTCAACCGTCCGACCCTCCATGTGTCCGCACATCGTTTATATTTCATGGGGTCATCTGCGTGTTGCTGCTCCCCTCAGCCCTCTCATCGGTGCGTGAGTGCGGCCCGCAGAGCACAGTCACTCTTCTTGTGTGCATGGGGACTGAGAGAAGCACGCAGACATGACGGCGGTCGCGTCACTCCATCGGGAGAGTGAGCGCAGCAAAAGAAAAAAAAATCAGAAGGGAGAGAAATGCTCACAAGGCCGACAGCGAAGGGACTGCCGGCGCGAGAAATAAACACGCAAACAAAGAAAAACACGGCGGCAGGGTGTGGCTGTGTGTGTGGCGCTGCGGGTATCTGCCCGCCCTGGCCGCAAAAACAAAAAAAAAAACAAGAGGGAAAGAAATGTGTGCTCCGCCCCACAGGCCCTCGTCGCACACCCACACGTCACGGCTCCCTCAGCGCGCCGTTCGTCGCGGCCCCTCCTCATGCGTGCAGCAGGCGAGGCGCACAGGGCCGTCGTCACGAGCGTGTCGGTGGGTGTGCGAGTGGAGCAGTTGGGCGGGAAACACACGGTACCCCTCACAGGAAGAGTGCAGAAAAAACAAATAAAAGAGGGAAGAGTAGAAAAGAAAAAAGAACGTCCATATTGATTGCCCCCAAAAGCAAAAAAGAAGGGATGAGGGGAATGAAAAAAAAGAAAAAAAAAAAAAAAAAGAGTAAAACCAACCAAGAAGTAGCAAACAGGAAAATAAATTTAAAATACGCAAAAAAAGGATTTATGAGTGAAATTTGTTCCCATGGGGAAGTAATTCTGTGCTGAGGTGTTCCACGCAGAGGCCACACTCACCTCAAGAAGCGGCAATCCCCCACAATCCAAGCAGAAGGAGCAGCGGCAGCAGTCCGCCTCCGCAAACAGTGCTGCCATCACCATTTGCCCCAAAGTGGCGAGCGGTACCGACACCCGTTGCTCCTGCCGCCACTGTTTTCAGATCTGTCAGTTTTGGAATAGAAATTTTATTTGCGTTGAGGACGCGGATCTCATTGTCATCCAACGGGCGGTTGTACAGCAGGACATTCGTCGCGGTCACAGGCACGTCCTCTTTGCTCCCTGCGCTGCCTCCATCCCCTCCAATGTGGAAGTGGGAGATTCCTTTCGAATCCGTGTTGTTCAATTCACATGACGCATCTCCCACACGCTGACCATCGACGTACACGGAGCCCTGTTTTCCGTTCCGTAGCACAATGGCCACTTGGTGTGTTGTCTCTGGCTTCCAATTACTGCGGAGTTCCTTGGTCGTTTTGCCACCGCACAGCACCTGCCACTTCCCCTCTTTGTCGTACGACAGTCCCAGGAGCACAGTATTCTTATTGTCATTCATCGTCGCACCCATCACTGGAATGGGGGTATCTCCCTTCGGCTCACCGTGGACGGACAACGTCGCCACAAGAGTGAAGTTGTGGTTCGCAAAGTGGTACAGCTGATTCTCCCCCTGCTTGCCAACAGGCCACTCCGCCCACGCTCCCTGGAACGTCACTCCATCCGCATACCCTGTTGCCACCCCATTCGTTCCTTTCTTTACTGTGGCGTCCACCCCGAGGTACTCGTCCCTCCATGTGTTACCAGAGAAGTTGCCGGACAAAAAGCCAACCAGCCCATCCGTGATCTTATCAGTGCTGCAGGCATTGCCAGTTGAGGGATTCTTCGCATGACTTTTAGAGGGGCACAGCTTGGAGACACGTTCGTCCACTTCCTTCCAGGTCGTCAGCACCTTCTTCACCCGCTTCAGCTGCGCAGTCAGAAGCACAGAGACCATACCGTACGACGGTTCTTTTCCATCGCCTTTCTTCTTCTCGTACAGTGCAATCAACTCATTATTATTCCCACTTTTGTACAACAAGGAGCTGGCGGCAACGTCGTCGTTGCCGGACACCGGCCCAATATCAGCAATGTGCGTGTTGTCCGTCAGCCAAAGATGAAGTTTGCCTTTTTCGTTAGAATACACCGGCACAGTAACGAGCATCACGTCCCTGTTATCAATCGTCGCTGTGATGAACCCGCTTCTAATGCCCTTCTCATGTCGCTTTTGGTTGTTGCCCCACACGCGCGAGAGTGTCCCGAGGGCCTCCGTCCACGAATCCCCCTTGTCACCGGACTCGTACACCCTGCGGCGGCCATCATCACACGCAGTCATCATCATGAGTTTTCCCTCCCTCCACTCCACGACGGAGGGATCACTGCAGCCATCGGCAGACATCCCCTTCGACAGATTCCCACTCGCAGTGTCTGAAGAGTATATAATCAGCGAAACGGCCTTTCCATCCTTCTTCGTGCCTTCCACGGGCAACACAAGCGCACCGTCCTTCATCTGAACACCCGATCCACCACTGCCAATCAGCCGTTTCAGGGATTCGTGTTGTTTTTCAAAATCAGTCCACGGGATAACGGAAGCGTCGTTCCAATAAATTTTTTTTTTACCGCTGCTCCCATCATTACTGACGTTTCCCACAGCCACCAAAAGTCCCCATTTAGCTGCTGCAGCTGTGCTACGAGTAGCTGCCTTATCAGTAACTTCAAAACCGTAGTCTCCAGCAAACATGTAAATATCACTCCCATTCACAACTGTTGTTGGCCGGCTCACACGTACTTTTGTCCGGCTTTGGGAAGCATCCTGAGCTCGTGTTTGGGAGGCACAACCCTTATTTCCGGCAGGACATTCCTCCAGTAC